TCGGTTAAACACGGTTATTTCGACCAGTTTTTTTGTCATATATGTTTCATTCTCATCTGGCTAAAAGTGGAGAGAAAAGACGCTTTATTCCGCTAAAAAGAATATTTGAGGTCGCCTTGATATGACATACTGACAGTAATATAGTGCAGCAGTAAGTGAAGTTGAACTGTTTTAATCAAAAAAAGGAGAAGCGATAAACTTTCTAAAATATCACTGGAACTTAGATTTCCTTTCTAAATTTAATCGTGAAGTAGTGTGACTGACTAACACTAGATTACTTTTGGGTTTTAAATTGAAGATACATCAGTACGCCACAATTTTTTTGAAAAATAACAAGATATACCAGTATAAACAACGACAAATCATATTGTCTGGACAATAAACGATAAAAATATCGTCTACAAACAGTTCATATACCTGTAAGCGTATTTTCAGTTTAACTTTCAAAGGAAAAGGTTGGATTAAACTTTAAATCAGTCCTATTTATTACTTGAATTATTCTCACAAAGAATTACGCGAACATCGAATACTATCATTTAATCCCTACAAACCAACACTTGAATACCAATGAGATGCTCACTGGCGACTGGCCCTATTCAGGTAGGTAGTTACCTGGGTTCCAGTGGGAAGTCGTGACCAGTAGGGTGCAGCTGGTCGGGTGTGAGGACAAATACTCGCCGAAGACATTGGCTAGCGGTCGCGCTATGTCGTGAATTGGCAGAAGTTAGAATTCAAGGACCATTGGATCGGGTCCCGGTGGCTTAATGGTATACAAGCTCGCCTTGTAACCAGAAGGTCCTGGGTTCGAACCTAGGTGGTGGCTGCGTACTGCTGAAGAGTCCCAAACTAGGATGAAACAGCTGTCCAGTACTCCCAGGTTTTCCAATGGTTCTCTAACTAATGTCAGCTCATGATGAAATCCTGAAACCAATCAAATCCCTACAAACCATTACTTGAATTTAAGTAATAATTATTCTGCAATGTGAACGGGTTATCTGAACAATGCTTCTAATGTACATTAATTTTGATGGGACAGTTATGCTTGGTACAGATGGCAGTGGAAAACTGAAAACCTAGTTATTTAGTAAAAGTTACGTTAACCACTTCCTCAGCCATAGTAACATCCATTTTATAAGAGGGAATAAGACGCAGAAACCTATGAAAACAGACATTTCATTTTTTTATGCAAGGAGTTAAGAAAGAATTATTTAACGAATGGAAAGTTTGTCAGGTTCCTTGACGGTTGTAGAGACTAACTGTTAAGCATTGTGAAGAATTATATCATGGAATAGTGTATGTAATTGAGCAAATGCTGACGTAATTTCAAAATGAACGATTTTCAAATTTCAGACATACAAGATCTGTAAAGTAACTGAGAAATTTCATGACCTTGTGTCTAGATCTGCAAGTAGTCAGCAGATTTGTAGGTGTAGACCTTTCACGTAAACCAGTGAAATAAGTGGTTATTAAATAAATTGAGTTTTCTGTTGACTTATTATGTTGGAGTGAAATATTTGGCTTCTGTTGACGTGTTTACTTCAGGTACGGACTCTTCGACGATGTCTGAAGATTGACATAATGTTATTTTGATTGGTGATGACTAGCAGTGGAATTCAGGATGCTCATTTCGTCCCGTGCAGGACTATTTGTCTGATCTACCTGCATTCTTAAGCGAGTGAAGGTGTTCCAGCTGGGACTCATCGTTTTCAAACGACAAAGCATTACCCTTCCAAGCCACTGTACTACGAAGGTGGTTGCTTGTGCAGAGTTTTTCATTCGTCATCATCGAAAGTTCCCCCTGGTTGATTATGTTGGACTGAAGTCCTCAGTGTGTCTGTTGACATAGTGATTAATCTCTAGACAATGATGTAACATCTCAGAGAGTTAACAAGAAACAAGAAGAACTTTTAGGAACTAACTAACTGGGGTGATCATTTGGCATATCCTGTTTTTGAAGTAGCGCATTCTTTATCCTGATGGATATTAAAAGTTTCAATAAATAGGCTAAAATACACCGGAAAATATAAAAATGTGTAACTTTTGAACTTACTACCTCCTTTAATCCATCATATTGCGCAGATATATAGTATCAACCAACATTTTCTGATAAAAGTGTAGCAGATATAATGCATTTCAAGAATATATTGCCACCGATAACATGTAGGTCGGAAAACTCCGTTTAAAAAGCACATAATAATAATAATTTGCTTTATTCCAGAAACAGTACTAGTGGTACAGTGTGGAATTTTCAGCACTTATCTACAATATTGCATCTAATTTCATCGCACATTTAAAAGGAGTATTTAAAAAAATATAAAAAAACAACAACAAAAACTAAAAAACAAATAACAAAAAAATGCAAAAAAATACCAAGTAGAAAAAATAAACTACAATAATAAACAATATCTCATTATTGGGTAGTGGAAGCTATGATATGTGTATGCGTGGTGAACAGTAACAGCTATAATCATACGAGAAGTTATGAAATGTTCTTAAGAATGTTTATAGCCAAGATGATCAGTTAATTTGATTGAAACAACACTAAACAATCATAAAATAAACATTTCAGGTTTTTTTATTGTCAGCTCTAATGCGGTGTTTGTAGTGGTAGTGTGAGTAATCATGCATAATACAAAAATTTTAGGATGGTGATAACGGCGTTCACAACCAAGAGTTAATGTTGCCGAACAAAAAAACAATCACAAAACTAATATTACATGATGGTTAATGACAGGACAATTTTGTAATACTCATAGTGACAATATAGTCGGAGCCAGTAAATACACAAAAGAAGGAATAGAATAAAGTACAAAAAAGTAAGCCAATGTTAGTAAATTTAGGTAGCTAATTATGTTTTAGAAGGATGTTCACTATAGAGTACAAATAAGAGAGAAAAAAAAAAAAATAAAAGAACCAAAATTATGTTATCAACAAGGCAAGTCATAGGTTTCACGCTTAACATTGTCTCTGTCACTTAGAACACGGGCCAAATATGGTATCGTTGAGTTCCTATACTTGGTTGTACGAGCATATATTAATTTGTACTGATTTCTGGTTCTACCTGATGAGATACAAAAAAGGAGAGAGTTGGGAATAGAGGGGGTGTTGGGGGTCAGAGAGTATGGTCTTAGACCATTTCTCGCATGTATTCAGATGCTTATCTACTATTGTAGTGATGAGCTGACTGAGTTTTCACCGCTAGTCCTAATAACTACCTTCAACATCCTTCTCAGGGTGGTATAGTCCTTTTTCAGTAACCCAGGAAAGACTAATGGGGAGCAGTAAAGTAGAATAGGTAAGATACGAGGGTTGACAAATTGTGAAAGCAGAGGTTGAGTGATTCCAGTTAGTCTGAGTTTCTTAATGTAGTAGGTTAGACGAAACATTTCCTTAGAAATCGTTTGGATATGAGATGACCAAGTAAGGTCGGAAGATAGAACTAATCCGAGGTATTTTGCATTAGACTTAGTTTCAATTTTAGTCCCCTCAATGCTACAGGCTTCATGAGTGCTTACTAGTGTTTGTAGATCTTGTTTGTGCCTAAAGGAGAAATCAATAGTCTGGCATTTTGAGGGATTCAGTGTGTTTAAGAAGGTTGTTCACTATAGAATACAAATAAGAGAGAATAAGCGAGAAATAAAAATATAACTTATCATTAAACCACCATAATAACGGACTACAATGCTAAAATTAGCAAAGGTATGCAATAAGGCCACTCTACTAAATGCATACCACCCTATCAAGATAGAATACACAACCAACGATAGACAAATCTTTCTTGCCTAACTATTTTTAAGGGTAACATTAATAATGCAGTCTGGAAAGAGACCGTATACTTCTTGTCTTTTTAAACCACTTAACTAGCTTGTTAAAGCAATAGTAAATTTATCTCCAGAAACCACTAGTTTCAACTTCATTTAAACATTCTTTAGCTATACTTAACATATTGCGTTTTTTTACATTTATGTAAATTCGCACTTTATAAATGAAGACTATAGATGAAAAACTTGAATAAAAGTGATGCATTACTCAATAATTATTGACAACTTAGTAATAAAAAAAAATATCAGAAATAAACTTTTGTGGAATATTTCAATGTCAAATACTTTTTTATTTTGTTTTGTTTTTCTATACATGCAACTCAATTTCATGAAAAAACAACACGAAAAAAACAGAACACATTTGACGGAATACTAAAAGAAATTAGCATAAACTTTTCATAATCAGCTTTTCTTTTGTCATCCTAAATTTGTTTTACTAATGTACATGTATATATATATATATATATATATATATATATATATATATATATATATATATATATATACACTAAAGAAATATGTCTACGTTTCAAAAATGTCTAGCAATCAATGAGTTGTAAAATTAAGAAATAGTTTAAATAAAACAAACTATTAAATACAATGAAAAACAAAAATGGCGGGATAAATGCAGGAAATAAAAAGTATTATAAAGGATTAAACAAGGATAGACAGAATGCTTTATTTCTCAGAAGCATATCAACAACAAAAAGAAAGAATTTGGATATTTATACATGTATATATGAACGACTATTAGGATAAAGAAAAAGGGGATAAATCACCAAATCCAAAGGAATAATGTCTTTTTCCCCTTTTCCTTCTTATTATCCTTGTAAAATAACTATGTGATGTACATACCATATGAAGAATTTTAAAAAAATAGAATCATTTTTACATGTTACATTCAATATTCAAATATATACATTTTTGTTTGTTTGCGCAGAACGTTTATATCAGTCAGTTCAAAAGTCACTTTCTCTGTTTGAAAAGTAAACCCAGATTAAGCGTAATATTTAAAATGAGAAATATATATATTTATATATATTCAACAAATCATTGTTTGTCAACTAATCCTCTTTTCTTAAAATGTATATAAGTTTCTTAATCTTTAATAAAACTGTTATATAAAAGAAAGAAATGTTTACTTTGTCTGAATCAAACTTATATTAAAAGTTTAGCGGAATGAAAAGGAAGATAAGGCGCGAAAAGTTGATTAATGCAAGTCAGTCAAAGGGTGGTGCTCTTTTAAATAATGGTAATAATAATGATAAGATTAGTGAAAAAAAAGAGAAAACGTTCATTGGCAGAAGTTATCAAAAGAATCAAATAAAATTCTTATGTGAAAAATACTTTATTTGTCTTATAATTCTATTCGTTGTCCAAGAAATACTATTATGTTTAGCTTTTGTTTTAAGTTATCCTGTAATTAAACTGGAAATGAATGAAGAAGAAAATTGTTTCAGCGATGAACATGCCTGAAAGATTGGTCAAAAGACTTATACTGAATTGTGGAGTGAGCGTTACAAATACTTTCAGCTTGTGGAATACAAGAAAGGACGCGACATTTGATCCCCAACAAGAGTAGCTTTATTTTATTTAGTAGGGTAGTCGACCAATAGAAGTGGACTTTGCAGTACAGGGTAGAAGGAAAATTAGATTTCGTCGAGAAATACCTTAGGGAAAATGGATACCCTAAGTGATTTATACAGAAGTATAGCAGAGAAAAAGATGAGAAAGAAAAGCATCCAACTGTAGAAAAGAAAAAAGTGTTTATTTGTCTACCATACAGAGGAGATGCAGTGTCACAAAAGATTGACAAAAGACTGAAAGGTGCAATAAATAGAAGCTTCCCGGAAGCAAAACTTATAACATTATACAGCACCACTTCTTCTATAATTCACTCAAAGCTGGATAAATACCCTGCTGATGTCACCTCCAACTACGTTTATGAATTCACGTGCACTTGCGGGAGCAAGTATATTGGAAGAACAGAAGGAAGGGCTTTTATACAGTTTTCTCAACATATTCCGAGAAACCTGTGTCTGAAAGGAAGCAAGTACTCTCAGAGTGCAATTACCAGACACATTATTGATACCGGACATCTCGTAGAGATTTCTAAGTCCTTCAAAATATTAAATAGACAAAGGATAGCAAATTTTTGATGATTTGCCGAAGCAATCGCAATCATACGATTTAAACCAGACTTATGCATACAGAAAGAGAGTGTGGTTAACCTCTCACTCCTTTGGTAACAGAACTTCGATTTTGATTAATTATCTAATTCAGTGATCTCAACTCACTGAACAAATCTTAATCTCATAAACTGTAACCGCTTTTGTTTTTTGGAGTTGCTATGTAAACCTACAACCTCGCCAGATACTAGCTTGCTAGGCTACTAGCTTACTAGTTTTCTCGCCGGTCCCAAGCCCGGGTAAAGAGGGAGGGTTGGGGCGTGGTGCTAGCAACTCCACCCCTGTAAAACAACCAAATCGCTACAGAAACTTCAACGAATAAATATATTAAAAATTCTAAAAACATAAGCAATAGCCTTACTTTTCGCTGGAATCGGGGAAGTGAAATGACGCAGGCTGGTGAAAGCCTTCGGGAAGCCAGTCAGCCGATGTGCCTTCTTTCGATGAAAGCAAAAGTAAGGATGGGTACCTGGAATGTTCGTACAATGTACGAAACTGGAAAGGCTGCCCAGATAGCCGCTGAAATGAGAAGGTACAGAATAGAAGTGTTGGGAATCTGCGAAAGCAGATGGAACGGAACTGGAAGGTGCCAACTACCTACTGGAGAGACAGTAATCTATTCCGGCCACCCAGAGGACAACCATGAGCACACCGAGGGAGTGGCCATCATGATGTCACCAACAGCAACCAAAGCTCTCATGCAGTGGGAACCAATCTCCTCCAGGATAATGACAGCCAGGTTCAACTCAAAAGGAAGGAAAGTTACAGTCATTCAATGCTATGCGCCTACAAACGTCTCAGAACAAGAGAAGAAGGAGGCGTTCTACAGACAACTACAAGCAATAATGGACAACGTCCCAAATGGCGATATCAAAATCCTGATGGGCGACATGAATGCGAAGCTGGGACGAGACAACACAGGAAGAGAACTCACCATGGGTCGTGAGGCCCTCGGTGAAATGAACGACAATGGTGAACTCTTCTCAGACTTCTGCGCCTTCAATGATTTGGTGATTGGTGGTAGTGTGTTCAAACACAAGGATATACACAAGACGACATGGATTTCACCAGATGGAAACACCAAGAACCAAATAGACTTCATCTCAATTTCAAGAAAGTGGAGACGGAGCCTACTGGACACAAGGTCAAGGAGAGGAGCAGATGTGGGTTCAGACCACTATCTAGTACAAGGGACTTTCAAGGTGAAACTAAAAGCCTCGAGGATAGCTGGGGATAGGCCACAATGCAAGTTCAACACTCAATTACTGAAGGACACAACCACAAAAGACACTTTCACTGCAACTGTCAGAGCAAAGCAGGAAACACTACGCGACATCACTGAAGAATCATGCGTGGAAGAACATTGGAAGTCTCTGAAGGCGATTCTCAACGAAACGTGTTCAACGGTTCTAGGAAGAAAGAAGAGACAAGACAAGGAATGGCTCTCAACGGACACTTGGAAATTAATAGAAGAGAGGAGAATGGTGAAAGAGAAAATGATTCAATGCAAGGACGGACAGGAGAAGGAGACGCTGAGCTCAACTTACAAAGCATTGGACAAAGAAGTGAAGAAAAGTGCTAGGAAGGACAAAAGACGATTCTACGACAATCTAGCTACTGAAGCTGAAAAGGCAGCAGGCAAAAGGGACCTGAGGACACTATATCAGATAACCAAATCTCTATCCGGGAAGAGACCAACACAAGCGAAACCTATAAAAGACAGCCAAGGGAAGCCCATTACCAAGGAAGAAAAACAGATTAAACAATGGGCGGATCACTTCAAAGGACTCTTGAACCGACCATCACCTGCAACCCGTCCAGAAATACCAACAACAGCGCGCACACAACTGCAAGTTGACACCAATCCTCCAACGAGAGCTGAAGTCTTGAACGCAATCAAACTTCTGAAAGCTGGAAAAACAGCCGGACCAGATGGAATACCCCCTGAAGCACTGAAAGCAGACCCAGAGACGACAGCAGACATGCTGACTCCATTATTGCAAAAGGTCTGGAAGGAGGGAAAGGTGCCTACTGACTGGAGGAAAGGTTACCTCGTGAAACTACCAAAGAAGGGCGACTTAGGCCTCACTCTGCAAGAACTGGCGAGGAATCATGCTCCTATCGACGCCAAGTAAAATCCTGAGTCGCATCATCCTGGAGAGATTAAAGGACGCACTGGAGACAGAACTCCGACCAGAACAAGCTGGATTCAGGAAAGGCAAATCATGTACTGACCAAATTGCAACTCTACGCATCATCATCACAGAACAAAGCATGGAATGGCAATCAAACCTCTACCTCAACTTTATAGACTTTGAGAAGGCCTTCGACAGCGTTGATCGTGAAGTAATTTGGAAATTACTCGAGTACTATGGCGTACCCCAAATATTCATCAACCTTATTCAACAGCTGTACGACAACGGCACATGTCAAGTGATCCACAACGGAAAACTCAGCGAGGCGTTTGGAGTAAACACAGGAGTCAGACAAGGGTGCTTATTATCACCAATGATATTCCTAATTGTGGTGGACTGGATTATGCGTCAGACTGTGGGAAACGAGAAGACAGGAATATCCTGGACCGACGTGAAGAACCTAGAAGACCTGGATTTCGCGCGTGGATGACTTATGTTTGATGTCACACACAATCGAAGACTTACAAGCGAAAACCGACAAACTGGTCGAAGAAGCAGCGAAGACAGGACTCCAGGTAAACATAGACAAGACGGAGGTTATGAAAATAACCAACCAACAACAGCAACAACATCCAACGTCAATCACCATCAACGGGAGGGATTTGAAAGAGGTTACTTCATTCACTTATCTAGGGAGCATTGTCTCAACTACAGGAGGAGCGGACGAGGATGTCAAATCGAGCGAGAATCGGGAAGGCGAGAAACACATTCATCAGCCTGAAATCAATCTGGAAATCTTCGTCACTCAGCATCACCAACAAAATTCGGATTTTCAATACAAACGTAAAGTCAGTTCTTCTATACGGATCAGAAACTTGGCGGGTCACAAAGAATATTTCCAAAAGGTTGCAGACCTTTATTAACAACTGTCTTCGCTCAATACTGAAGATCAGATGGCCGGAAAGAATCACCAACAAGGAATTATGGGAACAAACAAAGCAAGAACCAATCGCCCAACAAATATGCAGGAGAAAGTGGAGATGGATCGGACACTCGCTGAGGAGACCGCTGGGTGACATCGCGCGCCAAGCCCTCGAGTGGAACCCGAAAGGGAAGCGGCGTGTGGGACGTCCAAGGGTGACATGGAGGAGATCGTGTGAAGAGGAGTTGAAAGAATATGGATTAACATGGATGCAGGCGAAAAGTATAGCAGAAGACAGAAGAAAATGGAGACGTGCAGTTGAAGCCCTATGTTCCACTAGGAACCCAAGGGAGCAATAATAAATAATAATAATAATAATAATGTAAATCTACAAGCTAACACTGTTCTGTCAATCAATTTTTCTGTTTTCTTTCTCACCCCTCCCCCTCTTTTCAACTTTAAAAGCGGATAAATTGATGATGAAACTAAAAAATTGTAATGCTTTCATTTTGGATGCGTCAATTTTATATTATTTCTTCTCTACTACCACTTAAAAATTAAAGTATGTTATTATCATCTGTAAAACCACTGTGATTTCAGGAAGTCTGCAGCTGATGAGGACCTGTGAAATAGAATGATATCATTTTATACTACAAATTTCGTCTTTCTTTCTTTATCGAAATTTATCAAATTTACGAAGGAAATGGACTTATTTCCCCAGGCTTCAGTCTTTTTTCTGTTTTACACCGTCATGTATTCTTCAAAAAACATTACTGTTCCTCGTGAATTAACGCAATACTTTTGTCTTTTTTATGTTTGCTAGTATTGTATTGTGGTGTACTGGTGCTAGGAGAAAACCCTTTCAGAAAACCATGAGGCGAGTATTTATAAATACAGCTAAGGTTCTTCAATTATATCAAGGAAGTTAGAAGTAAGCTACAAACGAGAACCACTACAGATGGTAAATGTTAGGTTCGAATAAAATATAACTGAGTTATTTGCTACTTTTTCAGGTGATAGAGATGATTTGTATCTCAGATGGATGATTTGGTTGGAATCGCCTTCTCTGAGTAGGGCAATTTAATTGCGAAGCTTTCGTTGTCCTCTTAGACAACATCTTCAGTGCAAATTTCATATGAAGGCAAATTAATTAAATTCTCCATAAATAGTGTAATTTTGTCTCCTGACAACTTTTGCCATGATTTTTTGTTAATTTTTGTCAGTAGTGAT